CCGTCCGGCGCAGCTCGATCTTGTACTGGTACGCCGCGAGCTGCAGCGCATACCTTTGCATGCGAGCCGCCGCCAGAGAGGGCAGCTCACGGTCCGGGTTCAGGATCCTGGAGAGCGTCCTGTTGTCGACCACCAGGGTGAACGGCCGACCAAACAGGAACTGGTGGAACCGCCGCACTCCGAACGAGACGGCTGCGGCTTCCCTCTCCACCTGGGCGTACTTCCTCTCCGTCGGAGTGAGCGTTCGGGAGGCGTACTGTACCGGCCTCTCGAGCCCCTCGGGCGTCACTTGCATCAGAGCCGCTCCGACGCCTGTCGCACTGGCGTCCGTGACGAGCCGCAGCGGCAGCACGGGGTCGTACCGCATCAGGACCGGCGCCGTGGACAGCATGTCCTTCACACGGCGCACTGCCGCGGCGCACTCCGCCGTCCATGCCCATTTGACGCCCGTCTTCAGTAGCGCGTAGAGCGGCGCTAGCACGGTAGACAGGTTGGGCAGCAGCCGCTGATAATAGCTGACTGACCCGATCAGAGATCGCAGCTCCTGCACGTTCCGAGGGTCAGGTGCTGCTGTGACGGCCGCCGTCTTCTCTTGCACCGGGCGCAGACCCGCCTCAGACAGTCGCCAACCGAGATACACCACTTCTCGGACTCCGAACTGGCACTTCTCTTTCTTGAGGCGGACGCCGTTGTCCTTTAGCCGCTCCAGCACCCGGTCCAGCCTGTCCATCAGCTCACGGTCACTGTCGGCGCCGATCAGCACGTCGTCCAGGTAACAGACGACTCCTGGAAGACCATCCAGCACCTGGTCCATGATCGCCTGGAACTGCGCTCCACAGGTGCTGATCCCGTACGGGAGACGGTTCATCCGCATCGCACCACGGTGTGTGGTCACGGTGGTCATCTCTCGGCTCTCTTCGTCCAGCTCGCACTGGAGATAGGCGTTCCTGCAGTCCAGCTTGCAGAACTTTTTCCCTCGGATGCTGGCGAATAGCTCCTCCGGCGTGCGCATCGGATACTTCATAGGCTGCAGCTGCGGGTTCACCGTGATCCGATAGTCCGCGCACAGCCGCACGCCGTCCTTCTTGGGGATGGGTACGAGCGGCGTACCCCATCCGGAGAAGGGTCCAGGAGGCACCTTCTCGGCGATCCCTTGATCCAGCCACTTGTCGAGCTCCCGCTCGATATCTTGCTGTAGCGCAAACGGCACCGGTCTGGCGCGTCGATAGACCGGTTTGGCGCCTTCCTTCAGTCTGAGCGCCACCTTCACCGGGATTCTGCCCAGTTCTTCTTTGAACACCTCACGGTGTTTGTCCATCACCTCCTTCAGCGTCGGCTGAGTCGCCACCGGGCACACGTTCAGCGTCTCCAGACCCGACGCCGTCCTCAGCGCCTTGATCCACTCTCGTCCCATGAGAGGTCGGTGAGAGCCCATGTCGGACACGACGAGTCGCAGCCGTGTCGCTCGGCCGTCCGTCTCCACGTTGACGTCGGCCTCGCCTCGCAGACGGATTTGCTGGCCGGTGAATGACGTGAGGTGCAGCTCACTCGGCCGCAGCGTCAGACCGGGGATGTGAGTCTCCGCGCTGATTATAGTCACCGGTGAGCCAGTGTCGATCAGCATGGTGAACTCCTGGCCGTTCACCCTGACCGTCGCCCACTCGGCTGCGGCTGGCTGCACGGCGCCGACTTGCCAGTCAGCCTGGTCGCCGTCCTCAACCAGCTTTACGCCGGTTCGCTGTGTGCCGCAGTCTCGCTGCAGATGCCCACGCTCTCCGCACCGATAGCAGCGCGGCGCGCCGGCCCGCCATGGCCGCGCGCCGTCCTGCCGCGGCTGCGCACCGTCCTGCCGGGGCCGCGCGCCGTCCTGCCGGGGCCGCGCGCCGTCCTGCCGGGGCTGCGCACCGTCCTGCCGGGGCCGCGCGCCGGCCTGCCGCGACTGCGCGCTGGGACAGTGGCGCCGCCAGTGGCCCCGGCCGCCACAGCGGAAGCACGTGCCTGGCCCCGGGGGCTCGGTCGGCCTGACCCTCTCCGTCCGCTGCGGGCGTCGCACCAGGTGAACTGCCTCCCCGTCCGTCTCGGCCGGCGCCGGCGCCCCGGACAGCCGCGTCGTCAGATCCATCACGTCCCTGTGCGCCCGTGCCGTCCGCCGGACGTCCTCCAGAGAGAGGTCGTCACCCTTTAGCGCCGCCTCCCGGACCAGCTTCCTCTGCAGCTCACCTCGGCTGCCCAGGACGCATCGGTCTCTCAACTCTCGGTCCACCTGCGCCGGCTCGTAGCCGCAGCGCAGGATTTGCGTCCGTAGTCTGCCCAGGAACTCCTCCAGGCTCTCTTCCTGCTCCATTGTCATCCCTTGAAACTTTCCTCTCTCCGCCACCACATTATTCTTCGGCACCAGATACCGTGTTAGCTTCCTTTTCAGGCGAGCAAACTCGTCTTCTCCCTGTCTCTCGGCGTCTTCCTCAGGCAGTGAATCGCTGACATCGGCGAGGTCCGGACCCACCAGGTGCAACAGGACTGCACACCGTCTCGCCGGCCCTTGAATGTCAACAGCGATCATATACCGCTCCAATGCCCGGAGCCACTTTTCAAAGTCCGTGCCTGGACGGTACGGCACCGCAGACACTATCTGCATCCCCGTTGGATCCATCGTGCCGCCGCGCTCTCACCAGCACGTCGTTCCGCCGGTCGGCTCGCCGCCGCTCCACCGGTCGGCCCGCAGCCGGGCGTCACCGCTCACACCGGCCGGTCACCGCTCACCCGGCCGGTCACCACTCACCGCGCCGGTCACCGCTCACCGCGCCGCCCTGCGCCCGTACTTGGCGCTGCAGCTGCGGTTTCCCGCGCTTTTCTCGACGGGGGCGTCACGTGGTAGTGACGTCACACGCACGTCACCGCGCGCGCATGCGCACTCGCCCCACACCGCCCGGCCGCGCGCCAGCTCCCCGCCGAAATTACCCGCTTCGGGGACCAGGCGCCTCAAACCGCATTGAGGCCCTCTCCGCCGCACCGATCGGCCAATCACACGCGCTGCCACAGCTGCGCGTCACCCCCGGCCGACCAATCAGCGTGCAGCACGCCGACGCATGCGCCACGCACGCCACACTGCCGAGGCATCATGGCCGCCACGAATTTCGGCGATCACATGGGAAACCCTGCCGGGACAACGGCCGCCGCGCGACAGGCACACTACCAGCAGCAGCGCGAAAATAAAAATACTAAGCAATACTAAGCACTAAGCATTCGTACTAAGCAACGTTTGCGCCCTCACCGTCCGTGGCCTGCCCGCCCTCGCTGACCACCGCGCACTGATCACTAGCCCGTTTCGCCATCACTCGCAATCACAGCTCCAAGGCTTCACCTTGATCTGATCCTCGTCGCCAGGATGTTATAACGTGAGTTCTTTATTCACAACCAAAGCCGCATTGCGTTAAACTTCCCAGAGCGCCAAACACCGATCGCTACTACCGCAACCGCACCCCGCGCGGGCCGGCGGCCGACTCTCTCGAACCCCGCGTCTGCGCGCCGGCGCCGCCAGTGGCGTCGCCAGGCCCCCGGGCAGGGGGGAGCAAATGGCGTCGCCAGGCCCCGGGGCAGGGGGGAGCAGCTCGCGACACCACAGTAAGTACTCCTTTTTTCAAAATAAGTACCTACCTACTCTTGAAAATCACTTTACCTGAGGGCTGAGGTGACCCATGATCTACATGATTTCTGTTTTACTTTTGTCATATCTCAATCTCATGATCAAATAATGTATAAAACAAAAAGCAGACAACATATGTAATCCTAGGGTAGGTATACCTAATGTAGTTTGGTTGAAAGTTTAGCATAACATCTAAAACTGGCAAAAGCAATATATGTCACCTTGAGTCAGAGAGCACTTGAATTTGAATTCCTTCCCCAAGTACTGCAAGTACTTACCTACCTAGCCCAGTGTTACAGAACATGATATGATAGCCCCATCCAGTACTCTTGTTTAGGTTTAGGTGGAATGCGGAGAAAGGTAGTGGCGCAGGATAAAAATTTGTATGTAGACGAGAAGCTTACAGGCAACCAAAGGAGTGACTAAAACAATGTATTTACAGAAGTAAGCAGTCCGATAAGGTTGGATATCAACATATGACGGGAACCGAACCACAGAAAATAAGTGACTTTTATCAACAGCTCTCTGCTGAGTCTGCAACTTAATACTATCTGCTGAAAGTCTGCTTTTGGGTCTCAGGCTACATTGGGTGGGTGTGCCTTTCAACCTATATTTAGAGGAATTGTCGGGACTTGGGATTTCGGAGCATGGCATCCACATTCCACAGGTTTATTCAAGTCCATTTCAAGTTAGGCCCTTGGCTTGGCGTGTCAAATGGCTGAAAAAAGATAAATGCTTACCTTTGTATCCTTGGCCATGTAAAAAAAAAAAACTCTTCAAGGGATTTTTGGGTGGAGCACAGGGTATACAAAACACCGAACCCTTGATTAAATTAATTACAAAATAAAAGATGAATAAACCACACACAAACGTCCCGGAGATATTTACCATGAGAATGGTGTTCTTTGATATGACCTCTCAAAACGGAGAAAAAAGAAGACAACAAGTTGTCAGGCAACTTGCGGTAAACTAGCCCCTCGTTGGGGCGTTGCCTAGCAACCATGATTAGAATAAGAAACCGCGAACAGTGTAATTTTTACGCGAATTCTGATTGCCGCAAGCAGGTTATAAAGAGCACGATGAAATGCTACCAACTTGTGCTACCAATTAACTCCAACTTGAAGTGATCACTTCACGCTCGCCTTTCACATGGCTAGTGGTGTTTCTCATTTCGATTCCGGCATGGATGGACCCTGGCTTGGATGGATCCAGTTCCATATGATGCTTGACAAAAAGCCTGCTCTGAACATTGTACGTCCCGGGGGGGGGAGGGATCCCAGCGAGCGGGGTCGGAGCCATCAGGGGTCGGACTCAATATTCCTTTACTACTCGTCGGACTCATCCACCAAAATACACATTTCTTGTACGCATATCATATATTGCGAATATTGTACCTACATCGAAAATTCACATGTGCATAGCATGTCTTCACAGCATGTTTGATATACTCTTGGCTAGCATACCATTTCTCTCGTCTAACGTTGGCATTTTTATCTTGGCCTTGCCCCTGCCGTTAGCCGGCACAACGGAGCCAGCGTTAGCACTAATATGTGGCATCCCCTACCAGGTAAACGCCCTCAGCTCATTGTAAATCGGCACAGTAACAGGTCATCGCACATAGATAACGACCGAAGCCTTCTAACAGCTAGCTCTCGCGCGGGGGACGCCGTAAGTAGCATCTTCATCGCCAACAACGGTCTGGTGGTACCAGTCGAGGGCCCAGCTTAAACAGATCGAACACGCTACACAAGATAATCGCAGCTACAAGCTTTCCGTGGCGATGTCAAGCGATTCGTTTTGATTTGGCATGTTAGAGACATAAACATTAAGCATACAGGGTCACAGGTGGACAGAATATGGAAGCTGGCGCAGTCAGCTGTTTCGTAGAAACTAATCGCAAGGACTTTTGCCATCACAACGTCTACTGGCGTTTGTCGATCATTCAAATTGCACGGAAATAACTAACTTTGAACAGATATCAATCCTCACAAAACGACGACAAACGTACGTTACGATTCTGAGCCAACAAAAGATCACGTTCTTCAGTAAAAGCAAGCTAAAATCGAGCACATCGCCACGTTAGGTCGTTCATCGAATACAAAACCCAGCTGGCTAGGCAACACACAAAGCGACACCAACAAACGTTGAGCGAAGCGACATCTGGCATAGCACGAGCGACAGGAACTAATCATATCCTCTCGTCTCACCATCCGACAACTGGCGACCGTCTCAGCCTGCTAACAAAGCCCCCAAGCATTACACAGCTCGGACCCGCTCTGAGCGCAACGCACTCAACATGATCCTCTCAACGCATGTCTCTGGCAACACCCAGCGAAGGGCGGACGCCGCGTTACATCGCTCTCATGAAAGACGGCACCGCCCGTCTTGTACCGACAGCCGGTCACGTACAGGTCAGTCACGCAGTGGACACAGACCGGTCCCGTCAAGGCCGCTGCTCGGGCGGCGACCGGCCCGTCTCGCACGCCGTGCTCTGCAAACGGGACTGGGCCCGGAGCATTCAATCTGACGCATCCGCCCGATGTTAGCCGATGACGTTAGAGGGGTTAACGACATGTAGCGATGTGCACAGATTGTCCGAGACAAGACCGGCAGCAAACACCAACGGCAGCGCGGATCGTCGCAAATCTCAAGATGTGATCGGTACCGTGGGACGAAATCCGCACACAAACAGCCACTGATTCGTGCTATAACGACTCATCCAGAGCCTTGGCAAGGAACGATTCAATATTCTAAGAGAGCATGTCAACCGCTCTGAACACGATCTATGGGCATTTGTTCACAAATGCATGCGTGTGGAACTCAACACTGCTTGGAGCTTGAACGTAGGTCGGAGCTAGTTACGGAGCGAGCGAAGCGAGCGAAGTCTTTCCTTAGATTAACGGAAATTTCTGAGTATGAGCGGCCGGCCGTGCGGACGCTTTTGCGAGGCTTATATCTCAGCAACCACTTGACCGATTTACACGCGGTAATTTTTGTAGGGTAGCTTCATTCCTTCTACCAAGTATTGGACTATTCTCGATGCATGTGGGTGACCCCTTATGCACGTGCCACGTGCAAAGCGAAGAGGTGTCAGTTTTGCAATTGTTGCAATATCTCGGTAACTACTTGGCCGATTGCGCTGAAAGTTGGCATGTAGGTAGGCACCCACTAGGCACTGCATATCCATGTGCCAGAGTTGGGGTGCTGCTGCACGTGCGCACGTGCAGGGGGCGTTTCCAGATCTCGAGAACGGCTGGACCGATGGCGCTCAAATTTGGAACACGGTTAGGGACCAGTTAGTAGGGTGCCGTGCACAAGTCAGTTGGGACCCATTTTGCACGTGCGCACGTGCAGGGTGTCGCTTCCAGATCTCGAGAACGGCTGGGCCGATTGTGCTCAAATTTGGCACATCGCTAGAGACCGGTAAGTAAGGTGCCGTGCACAAGTCAGTTGGAGGTACCCCCTCGAAATTTCGCACGTGCAAGGCCCACCCTCTCGCTCGCTCCGTTAGTCGCCCCAAAAGGCGTTATACTGGTTTTAGGGTACCTATCACTGGAGATCAACAAACGAAAATGTGGCACCAGCTGTAGCATTATGAAATATTAATTAGCAAAATTACAGTTCGCTTTCATACGAGAATGCCGATGAATGAAGAATGAGAGGCTGTTTGGATCAGCTGATAATTGCACTGATCAATAAGTAGGCACCCAGATCACAAAGAATATATCAAATATGTCTTTAACTCGCGAGTTTCAAACCGCTGTCAGCCTATAAATTTTGCGTATCTTGTGTAATACTTTGTAATCCCACTTTATCAGTCTAGCACGTAAAATCAACGCAAAGAGCGGTGCAGAACCAGCTGTTAATCAGACTTAAGACTTCGAATATTGAAGGGCGATCAGAGTCAATGTTAAGTAGATTGCATAATGCATAGCTTGTGCTATTCCAAGAGCGGTAGGATGTAACAAATGTACGCGGCTGAATGGGTTAGGTTAGGTTAGACAAAAATAAATCACATTCCACTGGCACTCAATCCTACCGCCTCTCGATCCTACCATTCAACCCATGAACACCATCTGATGAAAGTTGGGGTACTGAAAGATATGCAGCCCCAACCGTAAGACAGGAGCGGAAGAAACCAATCAGAAAACAGTTACTAGCAAACAGGGCGCGGCATCGTCACCTACCAACTCTTCTAAGCATCCCGTATTCAACGTACATGCCCTACAGACATGTTCTCCATCGGACCTGGATCGCTCTTTCATATAAAAATAGCTCATATGTTCTGTCAAACAAGCACACGAGGCAGAATCAAGCAGCTACAACACCGGTTACTCGTCTCACTTCACTCTCGCATACATGCCTTTCACTCACATCATCTGACCCAACGATTACTCATCTGAAGGTCACTGCAGCGAGCCCTGACCCTTGACCCCGGCTCCTGGCCCGCAGGGAAGGCGAGTCTGGCCGTTATATAGTCGGTCACGACGGCTGAAGGTCATTGACCCAAAGGTCGCCGGGGTCACCCAGTGACCTGGCACAACTGGAAGCTGGTAGCAGCAGAGTGGTTTGGACTTTCTCAGAGCTCTATTTCTTGCCTTCGAACGCGTGGTGAGTTTCGTGACCTGGGGAGGGAGTGGAGCAGGGCGTCAAAGCTTAGATCAATGATCGTTTTCACTTTTCTACATTGCTGACCTTCAACTTAAATCTGAACCTGAATCCTATCCATTCTTTTTTCAGCCATATATTCATTCATTTATTCATTTATCCATTCATTCATACATTCATTCGTTTATCAACTCATTTCATCATTATATGAAGGGCCGAAAAAGTAATTCTGGGATCCTGATCAGGAAAGCGCCTCGACAGGTAAATTAGCAATTACAGCTGTCCGGGTAGCGTGCAGCCTCAGCATACAGGCTCCTCAGCGTGTAGCCAAGCGCGCTATACTATTGATCAAGAGACTGTCGCTTATAAGACAACAAATGCTGAAACGTTCCATTTCTTTATGAAACGGAAGTCACGCTAAAAACGATCCCCGTCATCGTATAACAATAATTGGAACGAACTCCCGTAATTATTGGCTGAGGTGACTGCGATTAAATTTTCTTGGTGATTTAGCAATCATTGCGACATTCTGGTAATAATTCCAAGTTCAATCAGACTTACTGATTTCAGCTTATCACTTATTGGTAGCCAATGAGTTGGTTGTGTCCAATGAAGCCGCTAACGACTAATGAAGGCAAGTCATAAAACCAGTAAAACGCCTTTTGGGCGAAGAACGAGCGAGCGAGATAGTGAGCCCTGCACGTGCGGACGGGCGAGAGGGCACTTCCAACGGGCTTGCGCAAAGCACCCTTCTAACCGGTCGCTAGCGGTGTACCAAATTTGAACGCAATCGGCCCAGCCGTTCCTGAGATCTGGAAGCGGCATTCTGCACGTGCGCACGTGCAAACGGGGTCCAAAATGACTGTTGCACGGCACCCTACGAACCGGTCCCCAACCGTGTACCAAATTTGAGCGCAATCGGCCCAGCCGTTCTCGAGATCTGGAAACGCCCCCTGCACGTGCGCACGTGCAGTAGCACCCTAACCGCAACACATGGGAATGCATTGCCTGGTGGGTGCCTACCTGTATGCCAAGTTTCAGCGAAATCGCCCCAGTAATTACCGAGTTACTGAAATGGGAACAAATTTGGCACCTCTTATTGTTGTATTTTGCACGTGCAGCGGGGGTCACTCACATAGATGAAGAGTATCCGATCTTTGGTAGAAGGGATGCAGCTACCCTATAAAAATGACCGCAAGACAATCGCTCAAGCCGCTGCTGAGATATGGGCCTCTCAAAATCATTACTTTTGCAAAACTGCTTGAACACCCTTGACTTTTCACGTGGCACGTGCCACGGCGGTCACTGAGATGTATCAAAAGTAGTCAATTACGGGGTAGAAGGGATGGGGCTACCCAGCAAAAAAGACCGCAGGCCATTCGGTCCAGCGGTTGCTGAGATATAAGCCTCTCAAAAGCGTTACAGGCCGGGCCGGGCCGGGCTGGGCCGGGCCGGGCCGGGCCGCTCATACTGAGATTTTTCCGTTATATTGAAAAGACTCACTTCGCTCGCTGCGCTCGCTCGCTCGTAATCAAGTACTAAGCCGATCTCAATCATAAACGAACATAAAAATGTGACTTACAGTCGATACTGTTTTAATCAGTAACACAAACAATAATGAACAACTGAGGCAGCAGTGTCGAGCACTCACGTTTGTAGAAGATGGCGGAGAACTTGACGCCGGGTAGGAGCGACCTGACCTTTTCCACCACCTTGGCCTCCTCGTGCCTAGCGGCGTTTGTGTTCCAGATCTGGATAAGGTCGTCTCGCTCACGAATCTGAAGGAACGTCATATAAACAGTAACACTAAGCATCAAACACATACTACACACATGAATATTTTTTTGGTAGATTTCATAGCATAGAAACGTTCATTAAAGCTTTCAAGCATCAACAGTCCGGCATCGGGAAAAATATGGTCCAATGTATGTTCTTTCTATTTTGTTCGTTACCAAAAAAATCTCGATTCGGTTGGCACAGACTGGGACTTGTGTCTTTGTACGTCAATGTCAGGACTCTATGAACCCTTTATCGGGAAGAATATAATGACTAATCGAGCAAACAATGGTCTCTATGTCTTTATGGTATAACAGACATACTTTGTGACTGATACCTACTACACTTGCGCAGTAAATATAGGTAATGTTGCGCAGCTAGCAATCCTGTTATCAACTCTTAACATCGATAACCCGACTTTTATCAGCTCCCACTGACGGAGAGTTGACAGGCGCCCACCCAGCGCCGGTGAACACTCATCACTCACCGAAATGGACACGCCACAAATATCGTCATCCTCGGCGACGAAATCGTCAAACTGTTCTCCGATGACCGCGAGAAGCAGCTCCTTCCACACATCCGGCTGAAAAAACGTGGCATCGGCATAGTTAGAAGAGTGAAAAGGAACGAAAACGGACGATGTTATAGCGCCAAAACAAATCGAATAATGACGTGGTCAGATGAGCGAAATAATTCAAAGCTGAGCTTATGTTTTTTTTTTTTTTGTCGACGATAGATCAGGCCAGGTAGACCAGGCTCAGGACGCATTGTGCAGCGAGACCGGAGAGCTACGAGAAACAAGCCAGTTTGCTTCTACAGTGAGTGTAGTAGACTAGAGTGGCCACTGACCACATTCGGAGTAAGTGTTGCAGACCAGGGTACAAGCAGATCACAGATGCACCATACAGAAAATGATACAGTGATATGCCCAAGACGGTTGTTTGTAAAGTCGCCCTTGAACACATGTGACTAATTTTCGAATGCATGTTGAACAGAATGAAAACTGGCTATTTTCGTCACAACCACGCCACGGTAGACCACTCCGTTTCTTAAAATTAACTAATAATGCTAATTCTACACAACATGTAAAGCATGAGTTAGCCTGCAAAGCTGGAACAGGAAGTGACATCCGCTGGTTCGGTGCTAACCGGTTTACCGGCTGATAGGAATGGTGGTCGAGGAAACGACGGGAATGCCAGATGGAGACTGACCACTCTCGCGCTGCAGAGGATTTTGCCATTTCGCCGTTCAAAGGACGGCAAGTCGGCAAAACAAAGCGATCCTACAATGAGCCATTTGTTAAACAGCTTTCATATTTTGAGAAGAGTCCGCTCGATTTTTAAGAGCGAAAACGTAGTAATAGAGACTTTCACACAATTTAATAAATTTATTTCAAACATGATGCAACCACTGGCATTTACGAGGCACAGCTTGCTTTTCGCACCGTCGCCTTAGCAACACAAACGGAGCCTGGCCAGACACAACTAATCGACATCTTGATATCCCTGGGGCCTTGCTGCACCGTTTGGCCTGGTCAGCAGTCGGAATACACGATCACACTGCTGGCGCTGCAGTTCTTGACCGACAAACTAACACAGGCCCGCCCGTGAGGCGTCCGTGTGATCCGTATCAAACGTCGGACCAAATACGGGTACAGCGCATGTCGATTGGTAAGTCAGCCAGAGCCACTGTGTCGGCCCTGACGGCTAGTAAGGCCGCACGGCACACGACTATCACAGCCAGCGGCGAAAAAAGCCGTGGTCATCGGCATAGAGACACAATTGGATGAATAGAGGGAATACGCTTAGGGGAAGTGGGATCGGGGAGAGCGTTCTTACGACGGAATTCGGTAGAAAAATAAGTTCCATGGAAATTAAGTTCCAGTACGCACTGACCTATTATAGCTATAGCCAGCTCCGCGGCCCAACAGTATCGAGGTGAAAATGTCGACTCTATGGCATGATTGGTTAGCTTATTTATTCAATGAACTGTTAACATCACACTTACACGTCATCGTTATTCGATGGAGCTAGATCGGACAATTCTAACCGTTTCTCAGAGACTTGGTGAGCTCAGCACAACTTCAATTGACGCAGGGTATCTATATTTCACGGAATTGGCATCTCTGTTTTGACGACGCAGGAATGCGGGTCCGAGGAGGCGTGTCTGGCATTACCAAGGCGGTCTGGTCCGTGGCAGTGGTGGGCGTCTCCAGTACGGGAGCACCGCCCGCCACCGAGACGCGTGACACAAACATCGACCTCGCCCAGGGCAGCCTCCTCAGACAACGGACATTACCAAACAATGTCTCCCGCAAGTCTGTAACCTTGACAGGGAGGCATAACAAAATATATGTATTGAGGCTGATAGAAAGATACGATGGAAGGTGATAATAAACGGTGCGGCTATTCCACCTCACTGCGATAAATTATCTGGGGCTACCACACCCGCGGCAAGTTATCGGAAACGCAGTAGCGGCAATAGCCCGGATTTTAGTCTAGATTGTGTGTAAAATATACAACTGATATAAAACTGTGAGGGTATGTGGGTAAATGTAGTGAAATGCAGTTTATGACGACGATTATGACGACCGGTAAACAAAAAATAACAACCGAAGCGAAAATAGTGATAACAATAGCTCAAATTAAAAAAAAAAACGAGGGATCGTGACCAAGGCTCGCGACAAGTGGGCTTATCTTCTCTTTTATAACATTAGTGTCGATTTCTTCCAAAAAAGTCTTATCGGCCAGAGTATCAGCCGGCCAGTCGAAACATGCCTATTGATTTGTTCGTGCAATATGGAAATATGTACTCAAAAGGCCTCAGAATCTCAAAATATGATATATCATGGAAATGACAAATTTTCCGTTAGCATGTTCTCATCTGCAAGCATCGAAAAATAAAGGTTTAGATAAAGGACGGCGTTTTGCGGCAGTATAGGTACATACACATGGACCAATGTAACTGGCTAGAATTCATTCATCATTGGCCTTATAAACTCCGGTAAAAATTAGCCCATCAAGAATGGACACACGACTGTTCCGTACTTCGGCCGTATCATGTTTACCACTTCATGCATTCCCTCATACCTTACCCACATTGCGTCTTTGTTAGAAATATACGGTGATAATAACATCAACTAGATAAGGTAGCTTGGTGAACTTGCCCTTCAGTTGTTCGCGATAGTAAGTCATGACGCATAGCAAGGACACATATACTGAACAGCACAACAAGTCTTCGTGGTGCGTAATAAGACCTGGATCGGGAAAGCCATTTAACCAAATGCTTCCATTTAATGCTAGTTCTGGTAAGTTCGATAATCACTATCCAAACTAACTTGAGTTACAAAAAAACGAATATTAAGTTACTCCTAGGCATGAGAACGTCACTTCAAATCCTAGGCGTCAAGGCGTCTCAGCTATGGCATCAGGAATCTCCCCATGATGTGGTCCCCACATTCCCAACCACCCTCTCCAGCGTCACCCTCCATACACCTCGTCATCACCCCAGTCGGCCACTCACCGAGTCCTCCTTGCGGCATTTGACCTTCCAGGTGCCGCCGCGCGAGTTGCGCGTGTCCTCCCAGAGTGGTTTGCGATCGTCGCGCATCATGTGGTAGGTGTAGCGCTGGTTCAGGTCGCGCACGTTCGGGATGTTGCGGTAGACGGCCCAGAAACACTCGACGGTGGTCATGGTGTAGACCTTCTTCAGCGAGGCCTGGTACTCGGCGGCACTGGCGCCGCGCTCCGTCCTGGCGGGAGGAGAGGTGGGCGTTTAGCTGGGAGGGCGGCAGAGTTGGCCTGCGCTACGCTACGTTACGCACTACGTTACGCTACGTTTGCTTTTTTTGCCAAAACTACGATACCGAATTACGATACGTTATATATTGCTACGTTACTGAATTACGGTATTTGTTAATTAACGCAGCAAATTATTTTATCGTACTACGTTATGCAATATGTCATCATCCACTACCCAGTGGAAACGGTTAGTCTCTAGTAAGCCAAATACTGCGCACAATGATCGCCGGCTTTGCAGCATCGTCGGTGCGGCGGTGCCTACGCGCTACTCGCTAGATGCGCTGGACTTCCGACAGGGAATTCCCTGGGACTCCCCAGTGAGAAATCCCCAGTGTCGGTCCGGCCGGAAGAAAGACTCAGTGGTATTTATAAAGTAGGCGTCTCACATCCGTGTAAACGGCCGGAGGTCTGGTGACGATATGAGTAAAGTGAAAAAATATGTACCTTATACAAATACAGCTGACCTGTAATTGCTACGGAATCCATTTCGTAGTTCCTACGTTATTCTTTTATTTTCCGTACTACGCTACCGAAACATCCCAATTACGCTACGAAACGGTACTGACAGCTACGGGTTACCGAAAACTTCAAAATAACGTAACGTAGGTCAACTCTGGAGGGCGGTAAATCTGTGGTGATGAGAGACCGCCCTGAGAAGGGAGGGTGTCGGTGCACAGTTGGGGAGCGCAGCCGTCAATTAAACTATCGGGTGAAGACAGAACCAGATCATTGGCCGCTTCAGTGAGCAGTGGCCAAGAAAGATGAGCATCTGTAACAGTAGCAATGCGACTCACTTGTCAATCCACATAGTCCAGGGCGTGTTGAGCTGGTGTCCCTCCTCCTCCTGTTCCTTGCGCTCAGCAGCCTCTGCGGCCTCAGCAGCGGTGCTGATGTTGGGAGAGCCGACAATAGCTGAGCACTGCTCTTCGCTCCGCAGTCTACCCGGGATATCCATCACTTCTGCGGCAATGACAAATGGGGTAGATCACACTGGTATCAACAAGAAAAGCCAGATATCAGACCAACCATGTCAGATGTTCAAGTTTCCTGAGTCTACACTCTTCAAGTCATAGTATGGCTTAAAAATTAAGACGGCTTACACTGCTTACAGTATAAAAAGCATTAAAACAATGTCAATGTTGATTGTTCAACATTTATGCCAATTTGCATAATTTGTTTCCAAATCAAAATGGCAAATTGAAATACATGTGTTATCTTGCATGATGAAAGCAGGACACTGGAAGACACCAAAACTAATATTTCTACCTCTAGTAAGTATCGATTCACGCTTTAAGTCGCACCTTAAGGTGATGCACCAACACTAAGACCAAGGCTATATAAACCACTAAGACTGAAACGCCCCTATATCTAAACGACATGACATTGACATGCCCAATGCCCATGCCTGAGCAAGAAGGCAAAGCAAAAGGGCCAAAAGGGGATCAGTTAAAAGACACTCACTTGGAACAAAACACTTGTAGATAAACGAAAAAACAACGCTTATACCTCAGAATAGATATGACGAGAAAAGTCTGTAGCCAACAACAGAGAACGCCAGAGAACAAGAAGAAAGTTGAGCGTTGAGCCCCTGAGCGAAGTCGAGCGCAAGGGGCCAAACGGTATTCTTGCTTTCAAGGCCAGGCACCAATTTTGTCGTGTCTGCTTTAGAAACGCCTCAAATAATTGCTTCCATATTAATCTTTTGAAAATGGTAGAATTACGGTAGAATCCCCGCTGATGGGTAGAATCTGAAAAAAGAAGAATGTCTCTAGAATCTAACGAAAATAAAAATATATTTAAAGATAAAATAGGGAAGTGGAATTTGCATATTACCTAACCTCTCTTATGATTTCAATAAAACAATATCAAAAATGAAAATAACAACACTTTAATCTGACCAAAATCAATATGGAAATTATGTCGATGTTTTTTTTTTAATGAAAGAAAGAGAACTGCAACAAAAATATCGAGATACTTTTGCTGGGGTTGAGATTATATGGCGACTTTTATCAGAAGCTTCCAGATGGTGGAACACGTCACGTCAAGCAACAACAAAACAATACAAATCAAAATCGAAAAATATTGGATCACGTTTGGGACGTGAGGGGTGTGCTTGTCGATTTGCCACTGTATCAGTCTATTTCAATTTGGGTTTTGAGAAAAGAATCTAAACGCTTGCACTGAAGTTGGATTTAGGAGCTTTGCGCTCCTTATTTTTGTGGATAATACACAAGTAAGTGAGTAAGCTGTGATGAGGATCTGCTCAGTGCCCGCGCTACACGGACTCAGACTGCTTGAATTTAAATTATACCTATCTACTCAACTCTTTTACCTAAGCCTCTAAATTCCTTGAGACTGCACAATTCTTTAGCACCCTCTAACTTGTAACGGCAACACCTGAGGGCTGTTCATGGGCCCTGTGCTGTGTGCGGTTGGGCCGCACACAGCCTCCAAGCTCCGCCCGGCGCCCACTGCGTCCCTATGTCAGCCTTCCGTCACCGCACACAGCGCTCGCTGTGGCCGGTCGGGACTGGCCACAGCGGACCGTCCACCGCACGCAGCCGTGACGTCAGAACCGCCTACCCAAGGCTATATAACGCCTACCCATCCCCTACCCCCACGCCACGCCTGCTGGACGCACCGCACACACCGCACACAGCAGTGTACGGTGCCCGTGAACACCCTTCTGAAATAACCCGGGCCCTGTTTCATGGCAGCAGGATGAGCATAGCAGTGTATTGGTTTTCCACTTTCGATGAAAATCAGCAAACTTGGATGCTTGCACCACTGGAGCGTCACAACTTACAGTCGAGCCAAATTTTGTCTTAAGCACCGCACCAATACAGCTGTGCAGCTCACTGCAGTGTCAGGCCATGAAACAGGGCAATATAATAGCACCCTCCCCACCCTCTCTTTCCTGAAGCTGAGCTGAACCTGTACTGGTAAGACTGCAATGATGAGTCTGGAGTCATGCCAGGGCTCAAGCTAGGATGCCTGCCTCAGCCTGGAATAGGCCTGGGGCCTGTTTCATCATGAAATATGAAATATTATTTCATGATGCATGCATGACAGTAGGTAAGCATCATTGGGCGGATCAGGAGGCAAAGCTCTCAAAGTATGACATCATGGCAGCTGGCAGGATATTCTGCAGCAGACTGGCCTGATTGATTTTTGTGATTCAGCTTGCTATGCTACTCAGTGGGGCATACCAAGCGTCAAGCGATTGCGTTGTAGCATGTTTCCTAGGTAGGTACTTTTGGATATGTATCAGTATTGGGAGGTGTAAGAGTGTAATATACAGATATTGAGATATGGCTACTCATTGTGCACATCCCTTTTAAGCATATGCCTAAATCTGCTTAACAGTGAACATGCTTTACTTTCCCTTATTACTAACTGCCTATGTCAATTATCATTACAGACTTCTGGTGGTAAAATGCCAGACCTGCAAAAGCTGCCACTGGAAAGTGCCTTGGAGGACACCCCTGAGGTATGTCATTGTCAATATATTGGTGTAAAATAATTTTTCCATCTGCATGGGCTACCTGTGCATGGTCTGTGAAATACATTCTGTCATGAAAATGGTCCAATGCTCAGCTGTCAAAACTCAGAATAAGAGTGAATTGTGCTTACCTCTGTACTATCTAGCTAGCATGTGAGTACCTAGTTTAGAAAAGCATATAGTACACATCAAACACATGATTTTAGATGCATGCCAATTGCCAACATTTTAAAATGCTACCTGTACATTGATAAGCTTTTGTAATGCATCTCAGTGTCCATTGTCAGGCTTTAAGACTAGTTTTTTTTTTTTAATTTAGCTCGAATGTTTGAATGGACAGATTGACAGAGCCGGAGCCTACGCTAAGCAGAGCTTGTTGCGTAGACCCCGACCCCTAGTCCGATCGTACAATTCCGGGTAACGGGAGAATTTAGATGCCAAAGTTTAATGTTCCCTTCAAAGCCGGACACGGCCTGTCCCACTCAACTGACTTCAACTGGCTGCGGCTGCTCCCACCAACCGCAGACCATCCCCGTCAGGAGTTTCAAATATCGAGCGCCGGAGCGACTCGAACCCGGGCTCTCACTACCGGGAGTCCAGCGCTCTACCAACTGAGCTACGGGACAGGCTCTTTGTATAGCTATGTGTGTACCCATGATGCCTCTGCATCCTCCTATAAGCCAGTTAACAGAAATTAGGGTGCCTTTAGCTCTGGGTGGTGATTTTCAGTCATATGTCGTTCCTGCCTGCTGGTCAGTGGTTCGTAGAAGCTTTTGATTTGATAGTTATCATAATTGTTGGCCTTAGTGTAAAACATGTAGGCATACAATTTTGTCATTTAATATGGTTTTCCTTGTCTTCATTCATACTCCCAGCCTTAGAATTGGTAATTGGTACATAAATAACTTTATAGCTGCAATCTGCAATGCTCATAATGACGGGACGTTTTATTGATTGCCGATCGTAACTCTGCGGGCGGAAAATGCTTGGCGTAGTAAGTAACACGCTACTTAAACATTGCACGGTGACTATAAAACATTGAACGTTATTTTCTTGTTAGGCCCAACTCAGGGCATACTGCATTTGTGCTTATCTGTATTCTTTGGTATGAACATAGCAACGTCTAAGCTCTAATTCGGTTAGGTTATCATGCTTCATAGTCGGGGCCAAGGCTGTATGTAGTCCGTGCCTTGCTGGTAGTGCGGTCTAAGACTAATATTTCGTAACAGCTGGAAAGGTGGTGTGATCCCTATTCCCTAGTGTTTTTCGACACGTACGCAGCAGGAAATCAACCGAGCAGAGCAGTTAGTGGTTTGAGCTCCAATTCTCCTTCCCGAAGCCAGAGGCAGTGGCTTGTCTATATTGTCTATACAAAAAGGACCTCGGTCCAGCGGTGTTTTACTGTGCGAAACTCTAAGTAGAGTCTAGTAGTTTCACTTTAGGGCTAGCGGGGCGTATCTTGTGTTTTCTGCATTATTTTCTGCATCCTTCTGATGTTCTGATATTTGCACAAAGTACACTCTTAGATACGGACCCTACTGGACGGATCCCGAAGTTGAGCCGAAGAGTGGAACGTTGTTACTAAATCCAGACCTCGAATTGGTAGTGACGACTTTCTCTTTTACATCCTTTCAGTCCAAGCCCAGTATGGTCCGCCCCACACCCTTTGAACCCGAAAACACGTTCAGTTCCGGGGTCTGGCCCTGGGTCTGGCCGGCCGCCTCTCGGCGCCGGGCGTCGCAATGACGTGTCACGTGGTGTGAGGTGGGCCGGTCGAGACCACGCCCCCTCCGCTCCCCTCTGCTCCCGCCCGGCGACCGACGTGACGTCACGTCTCCGGCGCTAACTCGCTGACTCATATCTGCGCGATCCGTGTCTGCACGACGACGCTGGGCTTCAGGCTGGGTAGTCGGAGCTGGCGTTGTTTGGTTGCGGAGAAATCACGCCACCCTCTCCTCTCTCCCCCTACCCTCCCACACTACCGACCGGCGCTCGGCCGTCGGTCGTCGCGGCGGGCGGCGGATAGGCCCGTGTAATGTCGGAGGGCGCTAACCGAGACGTGTCGCTGCATGTTAGGGATGGCGGCTCAACGCACCTGGGCACCACCGAGGTCTTATATGGCGCTACAGCTGGTGGCTGAGTCACCTGTTGTCAGGCATTCATAATGCAGGACGCAGCGGCACGCCAGCCATGGCCTGATAAATGAGCTGCTGAAGTATCAGGGTTAATTTACTCTTATCGTCAGGTTAACGGTATCATATTTGTCGAGTTTCCACATTTTTCTATTTATGTTTTGAGTCAGTGTCGTATGTAACGAGCTAAGAGTTGTAGACTCGTGGGACATTGCACTCCAGCTGAGTCAATTCCCTGCGAACTGCGTACCTGACCGTATCATTATCTCGTATCAGCAAAGCACTTCACAGCAGTTGTAGGCAGCAGCATGGCCCAGCTTATTAGCGAAAGTCTGTAGTGTGTGGTTTCCGAGTTCGTTTGGGCGTGTAGTCACTAGTCACTTGCGAAGCGTGAATACTAAATACGGTTCGGTCCTATGGTGCGATATAGGTAGCTAAAGACCCTCACAATGCTCATCATTTTCTTCTCTGAAAAAGGATATACCGCCACACCTTATAATAGACGGTTTACTTGTAAACCGAGCACTGTTCGATTCTGAGCTTTTTCAAAAGACGTTAGACTAGAATGCTACGCGAAACGTTAGTGCAAGCGTAAAACGCTCTCTGGGTATGACTGTGTGAGTGGAGGCACCGGGGATCTGCATCCCACGCTTATGCGAACAGTATACTACATGATATACACATGACACAAACAGTCTGATGTAAAGCATTCAGCGCGAAATCATTCCGAAGCCATGGGGCTGAAAAAAGAACTTTTTAAAAATTTTGCCATTTGTATGTGCTCTGACGGGCACCGTGTGGCCAGAATTGTGACTCAGCCCCCGTGCAAATGTTTGCCACCGACCCCACTGCTTTCCTGCTCGTTCGCTCGCCTGCCCGTCTGTGCTCGCTACTTGCCCGTCTCCGCCTAACGCCGCCCGCCCTCCGTTCTCAGGTAAGGCTCGGAGCGGTGGCGGCGGCGGCGGCGGAGCGGCAGTAGCGGTA